AGCTTTTTGCAGGGAACATAACTTCTGCTTGGGATTTAATATTTGCCAAAAGTTTGCTTAGGGCAAACAGTATTTGAGAAAGACTGTCTGAAAGATGTGCAGAGTGTCTATTCCTATAGGTATTCCATGATCTTATCCTTGAGTTTAACGAAGCTGTTTGGGAGCTATATACTTGGGCTACCTGGCTTTGTATTCTGTAGAACTGCTTTTACTACTTTTGCTTTGACATCAGGCTGTTGGCCTGATGTGAGTGATATTATACAAAACAGCCCTATAAACTTTTGTTTCATGTACTGTAAAAATGTCATTGAGGACACTGAGAACACATGGGAGAAATTTCATTCTCATTTCAGTACCAGGAACCAAGAATAGTTGTGTTGTCTTCTCTGAGCAATGATCTGTGTTTACCTTATGGGCAATGGCTTACATAACTTACTATATTTCTTGCTTCATGTTGGTTGTTATAAAGCTTGTAAAGCTTTTGTCCCACTCTTAGTATGTATGGCTTTGTAGTTCCAACTTATTTTGTGTTCTACCCTGACTTCTAGTACCACCTTGATTAAAAAGAAATTTGAAATAACATCACTTACAGAAAAGTTGCAAGAATAGTACAAAGAATTCCCAAATACCCTTCACCCAGAATCCCCTAATATTAACATTATTCTGTACAGGTACTTGCTTTCTGTGTCTCTCTCTGTCTCTGTCTCTCAGTACACAGATAGCCCCTATTTGCTTTTAGTTTGCCTTACTAAATGTATCTGTATAAATGCCTGTGAAATGCTTTTTTTGGAAAATGAGGCAGTATATTACTAAGTTAACAATAATAATGCATAAGAATGTGTGAATTTCATACCTATATTTAAAAAGGAAGGTTATGGAAAGATCTCTTGTTTTGGGTGGAAGGAAGACAAATTGTGTGTGTGTGTTGTATGTATGTGTAAGAGAGAAAGAACACACACATGTGTTTTTTAAGAGGATGTTTGTAATGCTTCAAGCCAGGATAGTTACTTTGAATGGCAGAAGAGGGGAAATGCCAAAGACTTTGATTTATAGTAAATGAAAGTTTAAGGAGTTACCTTCTTATGTATAAACAGGTAATGAATACTCAAGTGTAAATAATGTTGTGGAATGTATTTGCTTTAGAATCAAGCCCAATTTAGTAATCAGGTAATCAGAATAGAACTGTGAATAGAGTGAGAGCCTTAATTCAGCAATGTTTGCCTACTTAAGTTAGAAAATAATTTCATGTTTGATAATTTTCAAATGAAACATTTTTCACTTATTTATTTTTTATTTTTTGCTTATTTTAACTAACTCAATAATAGGGTTCTTCTGGGAGTTGGGAATAGAATGACAACTGTTTATGTACCTGTTATCTTTCTTCAAGGCAAAAACAAAAACATTAAGCTTTGTTATACCATGCAATGTAGACAACATTCTAACTCTGTATATTCCTATTTCAGATATCTCAGATAAGATCTTATGTTTTTAATGACACAGAACTTTTTGTATACAGAATAGGAAAAATAATTGAATAAAAATGAATTTAAAGAATATTACAACTTATAAAAATGTTATTCATATTTAGAAAATAATTTTTTTTTTCTTTTTGTCTTTTTTCGTGACCGGCAATGGATCGCAACCCTTGGTGTTGCACCCGCAACCTCGCTCAGCCAGTGAGCGGCCGGTCTGTATGTGGGATCCGCCACCAGGCTGGCCCATAGAAAATAATTTTTAAAATGTATAGTTTAAAACACAACATAAAACATTTGTAAAAATAAATAAATAAATGAAAGAATTGCCCTATGTCCTATATGGATATAAAACAGAGAGGAGTGGAAAGGAGCTAAAGAATTCAGTCTAAATTATATTTATTTCTTCTTTCTATGCAATTTGCTAGAGGAATCTGCATACAGAAAAGCCTCCTTTTCCTTTAAAAAAAAATCAGTTTCCTGCTGCAGATTTTTTTCATTTTTGTATGTATGTGTTTTTAAACCAAAAAGGAAGTCTTTTTTAAAAAACATTCTTAGGAAGCAAAATTGACCTAAAATCTTATAGAAGATGAAACACTCTAGAATTTTAAAGGCATGGTGTTTTTAAATATATCATTATGCTACTAAGGAATTAATTTAAAATAACAATAATTATTTTAATGCCATAGAGCAATAATTGAATGATGTCTTATATAGTTTCTATAGGTGGCATTTATTTATTCCATCAACAGTAGAACATAACATTTCAGAAAATTGGCTTTCTAGGCAGATAGACTTAGGGTCCTGGCTTTACTTATTACGGATTTTCCATTGGTAACATGTTGCTAATAATTTCTACCCCTGGGGGTTGTGTGAGAATGGAATGAGATGATGATTGTATCATGCTTACCTCGTGGTAAAGGCTCAGTAAATACTGGCTGTTGCAGTTATTACCTCATTGAACCAAGCTGATATTTGTAATCATGCTATCGATAGCACTTTAAAAAAAGACACTTAAAGCTTACAGTTTTGAGATACAGAAAAGGTTGTGTTTGATATAGAGATAGTATAGGTTAGGAAGAAAAAAGTAGAGCTAATTACTAATTGTTATTCTTTAAATATTATACATCAGTTATTTGACTTTTAAAATGTCTTCAACAGATTTTCGATGAAGTTGGGTTTATTTTTCCTAGTTCCCTACTTCAGGTAATATTTAGAAAAGGGCCTGACATACAATATACACTAGCAAATATTTGTTTAATAAATGAATTAAGAATGTTTCTTTTCATTTATACTAATCCATCAAATACTTTTTCATATATAATAATGTCAAATATTTTTCCATGCATCAGGGGTTTTTTTTGGCCAAATATCTATAAGTGGAAATAAATTTGTATCGTCAAAGGTTCATGTTTTTATTTTAGTGGTTATCTTTCCAGCTTTCTTATTGTTTTCTTGTGTGTGGAACAATGGGCTGTGGCAAATTTGATATTTTTTTAAAAAGCTGGTAAAATTCTGTGATGAATTTGTATATAATAAACTTCCTACCAAACACGTTTTCTATCATAAGCTGTACTGAAACTATTTCCTTTGGATGTATCCATAGAAACTTTCATTAGATTGGTTGTTTTCACTTGTTAGAGTTCTAGTAAAATGCTGAGGATAACTGTTATATTTATGATGAAGTTTATAAAAATATTGAACATTTGTGAAATAATTGAGTAACCTATCATCTATGACTATAAATATGCAATTTCTAATTGACTTAACTATTAGCTCAATCTTTAATTTTTTTGTAGGGATCTAATATTAGTTTCTGATAGTTCTATCATATGTATCTAGTTTTAGACTCTAAAGTGCCCTAGAAAAACCTACTGAGTCAGTTGAATGTAAGATTTCTTCTCTGTGAATACAATCAAGGAGAGAGATATTTGCTATGGACTCAGAGAAACAAATTTTAGCATTTGATTTTTGGGAAAAATCATTTTATGTTTTATTTGGTAGGAATAGCGGATTTGCAGGTAAGAGTCAGTATGCGTGGAAATTCTTGAAGAGTTAATCCAGTATAAATGTAAAGAAGCTTCTTTGATTTATTTGAAATTCCTAACTTCTCTTTCATGGATTTTTTGCATTTATTTATAATAATTTCTAAGTCCTATTCTTATAGAATGTAGATTCAAAAGTATTGCCCTTTAGAGATCAGTCTGTTGCAGAATATTACCATATTTGGGGAAGATAATATATTAATATATGGAAATACAGAACTTTTTTTTTGCCCTTGAGATTCAGGAGGAGGAGAGGGACTAGTCTATGGAATGGATCTGAAACAAGGCTAATAGATTTGGATTCAAGCAGTTAGTAATTAAAAGTATACTGAATCTAATGAGATCTGACACTTGGTTTTCCTAAAATGGATAACCCATGGCTTTTTTCTTCTTCCCCTCTTCCCACAGGAAACCAGTTTCCTCCAATTGCAGCACAGGACCTTCCTTTTGTTCTAAAGGCTGGCTACCTTGAAAAACGCAGAAAAGGTAAACTGTAAGAATTCTAATGAAAAATCTAAATCTGTTGTGGAGACAATATTCTCTTAGGTGATGGAAGAGTTTTAGGACTGTAAAAAAATCTGGATGGCATTATCCAAACCACAAAATAAAGCTTTTAGCTTTAAATAATTTTAGTTAACAACACATTAGGTCAGGTTTTTAGTTGTCAACCTCGGCTATGTGTAAATGATTCAGGAGCTGTTTTCTGCCTTGCATAGGAAAGCTACAGGCCATGACTGTATTCTCAAGGATGGGATTTCTCACCATTATCCCACCCGGCTGAGCAGCAGGTTATCCTGCACCCGACCTGGCATACACCATGTCCATTATGGTTCAGATCAAGCCTGGCATCTTGTCTGCCATTGTCTTATTCACTGCAGTGTTCCTCTCCATTGGCTGTGATAATTGGGAGTTGACCACATGGTCTCACTCTTTCAACACCAATATTGAATGGAAATTTCAATATTCCCATATTGGAAAATGAAAAGCAGAAAGTCTCTTCATTACCAGTATGCTTATCTCTCAAGTAGTTTCTTTGGGCACTTTTATTTATATTCCAATTGTTTTCTTAGTTTTCTTAGCTGAATTTTAACGTTGAAAGAGATAATAGAAATAATCTAGGTCAGCTCCTCCTACCTCCGTTTATAACAGATGAGATAATGAGACCCAGATGAGTCAATTATCTCAAGGCTGTGTCATCAGATGATGTGTGATGTTTCCCTGTCACATTTGTTAGCCATGCAGTTGATCCCGTAAGTGTAGCAACCCCATCACTGCTTCACTTTTCTCCTTTTAGCTTTGTTGATGTTTTGTTGTTGTTCGGTTTTTGTCTCTTGGAATAGAAGATATAAATTAATTAGTCATAGAATTTTAGAGCTAAATGGGACCTTAGAAATCGTATTGAGTAACTTTTCCTTTTTACAATAAAGAATATGTGATATATATTATCTAAACTATTCTCTTTCCCCGTTTATTGTAGATCACAGCTTTCTGGGATTCGAATGGCAGAAACGGTGGTGTGCTCTCAGTAAAACAGTATTCTATTATTATGGAAGTGATAAAGGTAGTGTTGGTGTTTAATTATATATTTTACTGCATGAGAGTTTTTTGTCCTCTTTATTCTCTGCCCCCTCCTTTTTGGTTACAGAGTAGATCGAAGACAAATGAAGAAAAAAAACCAAACTGAGAATGTTAACAGTTCTAATCTAAAACTAATTTATAATTTTATTTCATTATTGCTCTGAAGTCCAGAATGCCCTAAAAATTAACACAATGGTTTTTTATTAAATTAGGAAAGAGAGTAAACTAACTTTCATCTGTGTGGCCTTTCACATTAGGGAATATTTATCATCCAGGCTACCACTGTATAATTTCTGGAAGAGTTAAGACTATAGGGTTGTAAAAGTTTTGAAGGCAGATGATTATTTTTTTTTTCTTAAACATTTTAAAAGAAAAATTTAGATAAAATCAAATACATGCAACACCTGTCTCAGCACCCTTTACCGATTTAAATAACAGCAGCAAACATATATATTGAGTAACTATGTACTGATCACTGTTCTAAGCACTTTAGCCAGCTAAACACATAAGCTATATTAGCTTGTTTCACTCACAACTCTAACCCCATTTATTTTACTGTTAGGAAAACTGAGGACAGAGAGGTTTTGTTCAAGGTCATGGAGCTGGTAAATGGCAGATCTGGGATTGGCCTATAACCAAGGCAGTATGGTTAAAGTACGTGCTCTTAACCACTATTGTCACTCTATCAATTTAGAAACAATAAGATTAATTTTATAACCTCATCTGTTAATTAAGAAATCTCTTAATCATAGTTTATTTAATTTTAAGTTTATTATTTGAACAAAATAAAGCCACAAAATAATGAAACTTAAAGAAAGTAAGCTTTCTTGGTTTTGCTCTTTTCTAGGGAAAGCAGGCCAGAAATTGAATATTATAGAGTAAGGGTCATGTAGAAATAAGTAACATTCACTTCCAGAAAAGACACTTTAAGGAGAAAAAGATACAAGAGCCCAGAATCACTAAATCTGAGTTTTCCCAGGGCATTGTTACTTAGTGTTATTTGGAAATTTATGTTTTATTTGACATTATTTGCAATTTTTAGGGCTTTTTCCTTATTATAAAAACATGCAGGGGCCGGCCCGGTGGCGCACTGCTACAGTGCGCCACTTGGGAGTGCGGCGGCGCTCCCGCCGAGGGTTCAGATCCCACATACAGACCAGTTCCCGCTCACTGGCTGAGCGAGGTGCGGGTGCAGTGCTTGCTGAGGGTTGCGATCCCGTTGCCGGTCCTGGTCCGGTACGGGCGCGACACTGAGGGTTGTAATCCGTTGCCGGACACGAAAAAAGACAAAAAAAACCAAAAACAAACAAAAAAAAAAAACATGCAGATAAGATTATTGTTTTTCAGATAAATTTGAAATGCATAATGGTTGAAGTTGGTCTCACCTTTTGGCTAATGGGTTTAACAGATTAAGAATTAATTTAGTCGCTAGTTTGTATTCCATCACTGATTTACAATACGTTCAAATGTAATAATGACATCAGTGAAGTATAAACTGTAAACAGCTATAAATAAGCATCCTTCTTTTTTCTGTTAAACATAAGTAGGTGATTTTGTCAAAAAATTTTGAGTCCAAGTTCAGTTATGATTATCATAGGTCATAAACTTGTGTTTGCTATTATAGAAATAGAATTTTATATGGTATTGCGAATTTAGATCAAGATTTTTACCAGACCAGGGAAGGGAGTTTTCAAATCCTGTGACTTTGGTTCAATTAGGCTTCTCATTTCTAATTTACTTAACTATCAGTGAATACTAATGTTAGTGTTTTCTTCTAGTGCTAACTGGTGTTATATACCAACCATTAGGTCATAGGTCAGCAAGAGTTTTCCTAAAATCCAAGGCATGTTATTACGGGGGTTGTGGAAAAGTAGAAATAAAAGATAATATGAATCTTTCCAGGAACTTTTTGAAGTACCCTCATTTACTTGAAAGACTAATGTTCAATAAAGAAATTCTAGTTAAAACTTTTTTGATAGTTAAATTCCTATTTCTATTCTTGTTTGATGAGACTTTGTGGTAGTAACATTCTTAGTAATTGGCATTTTAACTACTTAGTAATCCATTTAGACCCCTCTATCACTTTTGCTTTCTAAAAATTACCATTCTAGTATTCCTTTTTTATGTCAATATTTGAAGATTTGGCTTATATTTCCTTAAACTCTTCCCTGTCTGTTACTATGAAGACTACTGTTCCCAGTGAGATTTCAGATCTGTTTTCAGTAGTTCTTTTCTCTTTTGGCTGCTTCCTTCAGAATTCTCAGCCAGTTCCTCTCCTGTTAGGGACCATGAAAAAAATCTAATTGCTTATTTGGCGTGATCCTGATTTCCTTCCTTTATATGTTTTTCTTTCCAGGAAAATGTGTCAAATAAAATTTTTATTTTCTTTTGTGAAATCAGATAGCTGATTTGTACAGCCTTGTTTACTGTATGTGTGAACCATTTACGTAAACTTTGGAAAGAGCTCATATTTAGATATATGAGAGCTATAATACTCCAACTAAGTAGGATTTAGATAAATTGATTGTACAGGCACAGAAGGAGTTGATACCACTTACTAGGTTAAACTGTATTTTGTTACTGTTTGACAGATACATAGTTCACATTTTCTGCCTTGTTGTGTGAGCCAAAAAACATATTGACCTATCAAGATAGTAATGGCTTAAAAGAGTAGTTTCATCCTCTAGGGTAAAAAATGCACTTACCTTTGTATCCATAAATATTGTCTGTATTTATTATTCATAGCCATTTGGGGCCCTTAAGTAACAAGTATATAGTACATACTTTATCACTTTATGAAATCACATCCATCCTTTTTATCTCCTTCCTTTTCCTTTGATTGTCATGAGTCTCACTCATCAAACTTCTTAGGTACTAGATGTTCAGACATCCGTCAAGGCATTTAGTCATTCACTCACTCATTTATTTTTTAAATTTGATAAACATTTTTTGGACACTTGGTAGATAATAGACACTGGAGATCCAAAGATCCTTAGAAGTGTTCACAGTTTGAGTTGTGTGGGTATCAGTGGGAAGTAGAGTATGCTGTGGGGTCAGAGTTAGGGGCTGGGCAAGCAACCTGAGAATTTTAATGCAGTACAGTAAGTAATTTAAATAAAATATCATTGGGTCACAAAGGAGGGATGGCTAAAAGCCTAGGTGAGTTAGGAAAGACTTCCTGGTGGAGAGAACACTTCACTGGGCCTTAAAATAATGGATAGGAGTTTGGTTTGAATGTATGTGTCCTTCCAAAATTTATATGCTGAAACTTAACTCCCAAGGAGATGGTATATGGCTTTGGGAGGTGATTAGACGATGAGGGTAGAGCCCTCATGAATGGGATAAGTCCCCTTATAAAAAAGGCTTGAGCAAGCTCCAGAACCCCTTTTTTGCCTTTCCACCATGTAAGGACGCAATGTTTCTCCCCTCTGGAGGTTACAGCAACTGGTGCCATTTTGAAGCAGAGAACAGCCCTCATCAGACACTAACTTTGCTGGTACTTTGATCTTGGGCTTCTCAGCCTCCAGAACTGCGAGAAATAAATTTCTGTTATTTATAAATTACCTAGTCTTGGGTGTTATAGCAGCACAAATGGGCTAAGATGGTAAAGAAGGGTAAAATGGGCATTCCAGGCAAGCAAACAGCAGAGCTTCTGTGTTATAAAAGGCCATGGATGGGATCAAAGTTGGAATCCAGGCTGGAGCATGGAGCCAAGGGGAGGGAGCTAAAGTAGATTAGCTCCTGATTTATAAGAGCCTTCTGAGAATAAAGGCCTTGAAAAGGATTTTATTTTGAACATGGCATTTAAGCAGAGGGGTGTATAACCAGATTGTGTTTTTAGGAATTAATTGTGATAGTGTTGTGGAGGATGGACTGGAATGGACAGAGACTGGGTCAACAGGACCTTTTGGGAGGACATTGAGATTAATGTAGGGCTGTTGAGAGGCAGAGCAAGGATTTAATGAAAATCTCTCTGGCTCCAAAGCTGTGCTTTTTCCCAACTTGTTTATTGTTATCAACTCTTCCAACATGCTCGTAAGTGATGGTCCATTTAAGAACTTGTTCCAAATTCGTGGTTCTGTTTTTCCCTTCTTCTGTTTACCCTCCATGGGATCTTGAATTAATGTTATAATATAAACCTTATCTCTCCCAACTTTTGAGGTGGGGGGTGTTAGATCATAGTACCTCTTTTCAGGGCTTTTGCTGCCCAACCTCCAACAATTAAAGAATATCCTAGCACCATCCAGTAAATGGCAGCTGCAAGTACCCTTGATCCTACCAAGTTATTCTAAATGTATATAATGTTGTTTATTACATCATATGGTTGTAATTTCTTCATGTAATATCTTTTCAATATATAATAAAAGTCAGTAGAAATTGGGCCTGCCTAATACACATAGTTTAATATAACAAAACTTTTAGGACTTGGCTGATAAATAAAATTTTTCATTGGTCAGTAAAATTGACCTCCCTGTTCTCTCACTTCCCCCACAACTTCACCACTAATAGGAAAAAAAGAGGACATGTATGTTCAGTTTGAAAATTATAAAGTTTATTTCAATTTTGAAAAAGTATCATTGTTCTCTTTTAATATTATTTTGAATATTCTTTAAGTGACAGAGTATTTTGTGTAATTGGAAGTTCTGTTGCTTTTAAATAACAACTTAATAACAGTGATAAAAGTTTACCTTTTTCTCCTGATTCATTTGATAGAGGCATATTCTTGGGTCAGGGCATCAACATTTTATAATTATATCACGGCGATATATGTAAAATGTATAAATTCTGATATTTTTAAAATTTATATTGTAGTTCCATTTCCATCTGGTATGTGAAGATAATATATTTATTCCTTAAGAAACAGCTGTCAGTACTTCTACTTTTTATCAGATATTATTGCAATTTTATAGATTTTTGGGTCTTTGATATGTAGTATTAATTTTAATGTTTATTACAGTAAACATTAAACAAAAGGCGTGCCTT